CACACCACTCCCCGGCCCCCACCATGTACAAGTTCAGCACCATCAACAGGCTGCAGAACCAGAAGTCCTCCCAGGGCTTCAATCACAAGTTGCCCAGTCACATCCATGCAATGGGTCAGCAAGTTCTGCCCCCAATTCCAGCCCCGGCGCAGATCATCAAACCAAATGTGAATCACATTGCTGCAAGGACTAATGTCCCGCCTCCCCCTCCGCCTCCTCCTCCCCCTCCACCATCCATGCCAACCCCTGGGTCAGCTATGGCCGTGTTGAAGCTGGGCCCTCCCAGCCCAGCTGCTCCACCTGCCTTCATCCCACCACCGCCAGCTCCCCCACCTGCTCCACAGACCAATGGAGTAGCCTTTCCTCCCCCTCCTCCCCCTCTACCACCCCCTGCGCAGGCCCCCACGAGTCAGCAAGTCTACTCCAATGGGCTGAAGCAGGCACTGAAGGAGCGCTTTCCCAGCCCACCACGGGACCTCCTATGTCCAAATGGAGGCCTTGAGGATTCTCCACCACCTGCCCCCGCTCCACCACCCCCACCTCCTCCACCCCCACCCCCACCACCACCTCCTCCTCCTCCCCAGCAGTTCCCAATACCAGCCCAGTTTCCACCTCCGCCTGCGCCACCACCAGCGCCACCCAAAACCTTCACCCCTGGTTTTGTTCCTCATACTGCCTCCAAGCCCATGTCACCAGTTTCTCCTTTCCCTCCCGCGCCGCCTCCTGCTGCTCTAGGAGGCCCGACTCCACCACCACCACCCCCACCTCCACCTGCACCCCTCAAGAAGCAGTTCAGCCTCCAGGCAGGCTACACCTCCAGTCACCCCCCTCCAACTCTGCCCAAGCAGCACAGCCTGTCTAAGCCAGCATCCATTTCCACAGGAGCCCCACCAACCATGTCTTTGGTGAAACAACTTGCAAGCCAGTTTCCTGGAGCTTCATCTCAAGTAGCGAATCACACAGAGAGCCCCAAAGCCCCCCTCTCCCCACCTGCAGTTAAGACCAAACCAAAATGGCAGCCTGGGGGCGGCCAGCAGCTACAGTCTCCAGAGTTCCCTCCTCCTCCTCCAGACAACAACACTGGCTTCCCTGCAGCTCCCCCTCCTCCTCCTCCACCTCCTCCGCCACCTCCTCCAGCACCTGTCACTGGCCCAACACCACCACCTCCTCCCCTTCCTCCTGGAAATCTGGGCTCCCCCATAAGGAGGTCACCCCCTGGCTCCTTCAATTTTGGAGGAAAGAAGCCTCCTCCCACCCCGCAGAGGAACTCCAGCATCAAGGCCGACTCCTCAGCCTCCTATGAGGAATCCAGGAGAAACTTGCTCAGCAAGTTTGCTCCCCAGAGTAACACCTCCTCTTCCTCCTCATGTCCCCCCTCCTCCTCCAGTGGATCCCCCTCTAAGGACCCCTCAAATGGACCTCCTGCTCCCCCAAAACCAGGCAAGCTCAACCTGGCTAACCTTCCCTTGGCGCTTCAGGCCAAAGTGAGCCAGGTGAAGCAGTCCAGTGGCGACTTCCCTTCCCCACCCCCTGAGTGCGCCTACTTCCCACCTCCTCCCCCAGCCACTGACCTCTTCCCCCCTCCACCACCTCCAGGTAATGACGCCCACAGCGGAGGACCTCCCAGGGTCGCTGTGGTCAACCCCCAGCCCCAGGCTCCCCCTCCTCCACCACCTGTCCCCCTTGTCAGCAACTCAACATGGGGAAAGAGCTCGCTGAAAAAGACTCCTCCACCCACACTCGGACGGCGTAGTAACACCACCCCAGAACCTCCTCCGCTCTCGCCACCTCCGCCCACCTCCCCTAAGGGCAGCTCAGGCCAGCCCAATTTCTTGGAGGATCTCAACCGGACACTGAAGCGAAAGTCAGTAGGTCGCCAGGGTTCTGTCAACTCCGCTGGCCTCTCGAGCAAGTTGGACCCTGCGGGGACTATGGACGACATGGCGCTGCCTCCGCCGCCACCTGAGCTGCTCCTGGACCAAGGAAAGCAAACCAATGGAGGAAACGGTGGCTACATGTCCGGAAACATCTCAGGCTATGCAACGCTACGACGAGGACCCCCACCTGCACCGCCCAAACGGGGGGATACCACCAAACTTACTGGAGAGTGTTGAACTTGGAGGTCAGGACACAAAGAAGAAGAATGAATAGACGATGAAAGAGTATACTGAAGTGAACATGCATTCGTGGAATGGGAGTGAATTCCTGAACTGTTTATGTTCTCTGACAAAAAGAAGACTGTGTATATACTAAAAGCCAAACCAGACCATGGTCAATTAGTGTTTGCTAATTATTGCATTTTTTTTAACATGCTAGGCATTCTAGATCAGTGGGGTTTACAGTACTGGGACAGCTTAGACTAGAGCAGGCAAGTTTGAGGTCGCAGAAAAGTCACATTTTCTGCGACGGTCTAAACTCTCTGGAACATATTGCAACACCCTGTGTGGTAAACCCCACATATCTGGTACACCCAGCACATTTAAACAAACACTAATACGAGTTGTGCAAATATTACTGGATCCAGGTCTGAGCCAAATCATGTATCTGCTTCTTCGCCATAAGTTTGTGCCACGTACTGAAGACAAAAAAGGAAACACATCAGGATCTTTCTGCTTTGGTACTGCATGGACCACATGTAACAACGAGCTGTAAATCATGAAGCTGTTCCGGTGTGTGTGCATGTGTGAGAGAGAGAAACAGACTGAATATGCATGCATGCATTGTGCGCATGCATGCATGCATGTATGTATGATTATATGGTGGTGAAGTAGTTAACCATTAGGGAAGGCCTTGGTGGAAAGGGGATTGGAAGGTTTGCTTTTATATAAAATTATTTAATGACTCATAAATGGAAGGATTTTTTTACAAGTGTCTTTTAATAGCTGGTCAACAAAGTGTAGAGAGGAACAGAACAACGTTAGGGCACAATGGAATGTATATGGGAGGTGAAAACATTACAAATTACACACATGAAGGCAATGATTCAGTAACCCAGTGTACCTAGTATCTGCTAAAAATCTGTCGTCTCAAGTATTTTTTGACTGTTTCACAAATCAGAAGGAAGCCTTATTCCCAAAGTCTTGCACAGAGGTCAAAACAGAAAGGAGATATCTTCCACAGGCTCAGCAGAGTCTGGACTGTGCAACTGGAAAAAAAAAATACACTTGTTTTATGTTGATTTTCTTTTTTTAATTTAATGCAAAACTTGTAATGGACTTCTGTGAACGCAGAGGAGGCCTATGGTGGTGTATCTTCGTGGACTGTGTGAGTTCCCTGTGTGTTGGCTTGATTTTGGACCTTATCCTTCAGTTTGTATCTGTACAGTTGCAGCTGCTGCTCCGTTACTCTTGGTCCCCCCGCCGCCTTTTTACGTCACATGGTGTCACTGTCCAGGAAGTTCAGACTGGATTAAGCCGTGTGAAGTCCACTTATCTTGTCTAGACAAGGTGACCCCGTTGAGAGAGATGCATTTGTCTGGTTATGTACAGAACGTAAATCATGTAGTTAATAACAGAAGTCATCCAACTTGCATTAGACTGAATGTTGCTTTCAACTCTGTGTCTATCGAATCTTGTTTCTTTATTTGCTGCTTCAGCCCTCAGCGCAAAGGGGACAAAAGTTAATGCTTGATTTTGTATCTAGAGTCAATCATGAAGGGCTTTCATTTCTAGCGGCAACGCCTTCATTTTTAGGGTGCTAGTGCTGTCCTTCAAGGAACTCATTCTCAACACGTCCTTGTGTGCCAGGATGACATATCATTGATATCATTTAAACTGGTTTTAAATTGGCTTTAGTGTGGAAATGCGTGCTGTGTAAATGTTTTACAGGATATGAGTTCCGAGGAGGAGGCCATTATATCTGCAAGTCCTCTGAGCTTGTCATGGAGATGTGGCGGTCGATTCCATACAAGGCCTGTGCTCTTCTTTTGTCCTACTCAGCCACGGTGGTTTCATAGCCACTTGAAGGCGGCGTACCTTTTCTTATAACTGAATATCATCGTCCTGAACAGGATGTTTGCTACAGTACAGTATGTAAGTTATTGATGTGCTGACGTGAACATGTGGGGCCAAATGAAATGAAGAAAAACGGTTACAGATAGAGTAAATGTGTCCTCTTGCATATAAACTGAAAATCACAATATAAATGTTCAAACCAGACTTCAACACGTCTCAGAGTCCTCATTTGTTCAACTGATTTGAATAGCATGTATTTGGGAGCATCTGTATTGGTTTTATGTAATACATTTCAGCACAATGTCCTTCTGTCCAAGTACAAGCAAATTGCATTTGTCTAATCTTTGAGCCTCACACTCCCCCTAGTGGTTATATCTTGCCTTAAACTGGGTATTAATGTAGAATAATACAGCACCAGATTGCATAATAGAATAAAACTTATCAAGCCTTGAACTACAAGAAGTCAGAAATTATTAGGTAAAAAATATGTTTCACTAATTGACCAGCACCTACTTAAATTTAACCAATTAAATAGGAATAAAAAGTGACAAAAACAACTTGATATGCAAAATATTTTAATTCAAGTTTGTCTTCCGATGAGCACCATATATATATATATGTATCCAGAATGAGCTGAGCTTTCACACCAGGAAGTTGGTGAAACTGTCTCCTCTTGGTTGGACTTCTGGCATCTGTATGGAGCGACCGGACTGGGCAGCAGGAGCAGCGGGAGCTGGAGCTGTCAAAAAAAATGTATGCACTTAATATCACACTGCATGAAGTAGAGTAATACTTATTTTCAGGGAAAAACAAGTTTAGCTAGTCTTTTAGGACCGTTCATTTTCTAGGTTGTGTTGTAACTAAAAATGTGCTTACCTCTGTTTACCAGTGGGATATTGAACTGGTGTCTCCCTCTTGACAATCCCTGTGGAATCCAAGCCGTCACATTGTTCATGCATTAGATAGTTTAGGACACAAGGTTTATTTATGAAGGTTAGTTTGCTGCACACTTGTACCAATTCAGTGTGCTGTGTCATGTAGTTTTCACAAATTAAGGAGCCCATATTATGCACATTCACAACATGTCAACCACTTTGGATGCCCAAATGTATCACCCAATAGAAGAATCCATAAAATCCATAGTCAGCAAAATATAGTAAATATTAACATTTGATTTAAAAGGGAGGGAGAGGATGTCCTAAATCTGTTCTGCTTGCCTGGAACTTAAAAGCACAACACTGTCTGCTGATAGCT